GGAGGGATTTTGGATGAGAATGCTGAAAATCACGAGGCGTTTGGCGTACACGATGCTCCGGGCACCTGCGTCCAAAATAAAATTCTACCACTGCCGGTATCGTTTGCGGGCAGCGTCGCGACGGCTCGACGATCAGCCGTCCCGAGGAGAGAGACGCCCTGCGGCTGAGCAACGGAAGCTACGAGTTTCCGCGTCCTCGTATCGCGTTAAAGCCGAACAACCTTTCCGTGCTCGCAGGGAAAGATAAGATTTTCGGAAGAATTATCGCTTGTCGGCATGTTTACATTTTTGGGCTCAGGGGTATTTTTGGTCTCTTTACTTTTTCACGTGCCCTTGCTCCGTACCGAGTGGAATGGCCATAAGCGGAAGTGGGTGCCAGGTTGTTCTGGAAGAAATGCTCGTGCTGCACTATGGGGACTTTTGGAATCGCGGTGTGGGACGATGAGTCCCCCGATTCTTCTCAATGGAAGATACTTCGAGTGACTATTCGAAAGGCGACTATTCGAAACGAGTCTCGTTCTATTCTGCCGTAACGGATTGGCTGCTGGTGGAAGAGGAAGTGGAGGAAGAAGTACCTACTCGGCGCGGTCCAGTTTCATTTTTTTTTAAACCTTCATCCGTTTGCCTCCCTGACGGATCCCAACGTGAGCTGCACTGATATTTGTTGAGTGAAATTCTGCGTGAGGATTCAAAATTGCGCAACGAGCCAATTTCGCCAGCCCTTAGCTGCCCTGGTGTTTTTTCCTCAGGATTCGAGGAATTGAGATTGCGCAGAATGCAACGAGTGCAGGCGCTACGAAGGAGGGGGATGCGCTATCGCGGGACAGCGTAATGGATTAGTGGATTTTTCAAAATTTCGAAATCCCGAGGCAGCTGATAATCGATAATCGTAAATTAGGATAAAATAAATTCAGCTTCCCGATCGATTTATCTGCGCGACTGACGAGTCGCACATCGACCACGCGAGGAGATCGCGAATAATCGTACATCAGATTTGTGCGTCTTTACAAAATACGAAGAATAAAGAAATGTGCAAGTCAGCAAAAGTAAATTGACTTGCGGCAAGCGAGAGAATGAGGAGGCGACCCGCGTCGGAAAGAAAAGGGGAAGCAGAAAGAAAGCGGGACAAAGTGAAAGGGAGAGTGGCGAAAAGTCGAGATTTAGCAAAGCGGTTTTTGCACCTCGCGCAACAAGTGCACGTGCAGCATGCTGCATGCAGCTCGTATTGGGGAGGCAGGGTGGTG